AGGTTCCATGACTACCCACACTTGTGTAAGTTCTACCCAATCACAGGACCACCGAAAACTTAACTACGATCTCATCTGTCAAGAAATCCTACCCCTGGTCAGTAACGACCCATCTTTGAAGGTGAAAACAATCATCTCCCACATCACCATGGTTTTTAACTACACTCCGTCTTACCGTAAGGCGTGGTTAGCAAAGACTAAGGCGATTGAAAAGGTGTACGGAAATTGGGAGGAGTCATACCAAGAACTTCCTCGCTACCTGAATGCACTCAAGACGTATTCTCCGGGTACTGTTTACGTTCTGGAAACAGTGCCAGCATACGCCCAAGATGGTAGTCTACTAAACGGCAACAGAATATTCAGTCGAGTGTTTTGGGCATTTCAACCTTGTATCACAGGGTTTGCATCACGCAAACCAATTATACAAATTGATGGGACTTGGTTGTATAGGAAGTACAAAGGCACGCTACTAATGGCAGTTGCACAAGATGGTAACAACAACATTTTCCCCATTGCCTTTGCCCTTGTCGAGGGGGAGATCGGTGGTGCTTGGAGCTTTTTTCTGAAAAATCTGCGGACACACGTGGCTCCTCAACCAGATCTCTGTTTGATCTCGGACAGACATGCCTCCTTTGAAAGTGCCTACAATAATCCTGCAAACGGTTGGCATGACCCTCCTTCTACGCATGTCTATTGCGTTAGGCAATATCGTCCAGAATTTCACGAGGGAGATCAAGGACAAAACATTAAGGAAAGCAGTTATGAATGCGGGATATGCATTGACACAACCCACATTCAAATATTACCGCAACGAGATCCGTTTGTCAAATCCGGAAGCCGGTAGGTGGATCGACAATATTCTGGTGGGAAAATGGACTAGGTCATACGACAATGGCCAAAGATGGGGGCACATGACAACGAATCTTATTGAATCAATGAATGGGGTATTCAAAGGCATACGAAACCTCCTGATCACTGCTTTGGTAAAATCTACGTATTTTAGGATGGCTGCGTTATTTGCCAAAAGAGGTGAAATGTGGAATGCGGTGTTGCAATCTGGACAACTATGGAGTGAAAACTGCATGAAATACATTAAGGCAGAAAGTTCCAAAGCCAACACTCATATGGTTATACGGTTTGACCGACACAACCACAACTTCATTGTGAAAGAGACAATCGACCACAACGAAGGCCTGCCAAGACAAGAATATAGGGTAATGCTACCTTCTCGTTGGTGCGATTGTGGCAGGTTTCAAGCATTTTGTATGCCTTGCTCTCATGTCATTGCCGCTTGTGCTCATACCCATCAAGACGCGCTGCAACTTCTGTCAAACATTTACAAATCTGAAACGTTGCTCAACGTTTACAACAACAACTTTCCTTTGGTAGCAAAACCAGATTATTGGCCTGCATACGACGGCGAAATAGTGTGGCACAATGACTAAATGCGAAGGAACAAGAAGGGTCGTCCCAAAAGTAAGCGCATAACAACAGAAATGGACGATCTTGACAAGTTGGAAAGAAAGTGTGGTTTATGCCGTCAGGTCGGACACAATCGCAAAAATTGTCCGAATCGGGCGTCTGCCTCGACCACATAAAAATTGTAATACATAAAATCTTTCCTTAATTATGTTGTAAACATTAGGGTTTTCTGTTAACAGATTTTGCTACAATAAATATTGCGCGTACAAGAAAAATTAACGATATTCCGTCTACGAAATTACAACTGTTAACACAATTTCATCTGACCCATGCATCATTAACATTACATCGCTGTCTGTTTTGACTTCCTCCAACCATACATTAGGTCTTCCTGTCGCATGTGAGGTTGTTGTTCGTTTTCGCTGGATCCTTCGAATTTTCCCCCCTCCGCAATGTCTCCATCTAGCCATCGCATGAACTCCCGCTTCAGACGCTCCATGGAGTGAATGTGCCAGAATTTCATTTTCATCGCAGATTTCGTGGCGGAGAAGATAACGTAACCATCTCTGCTAAAAATCATGGGCGACTTCATGACGCAAATAACAGAGTAAAAAATAAAAATATAGTGCGAGAAAGTGTGCGAAATTTCGGAGAAACAGACGAATTATTTATAAAACAGCATTTTGCCATAGTTTTTCCCTAGGAGCCAAGTGAGATGGCGCCTCCTCTCACTTTTAAGGAGCTTGCGCCATCTCACTTGGCTAAAAGTGAAGGGAGGCGCCAAGTGAGATGGCGCCTAGGGCAAATCTATGGGTGGAGGCGCCAAGTGAGATGGCTCCTCCTTTGGGGAGTCATCCGAAACATGGTTATTTGCGTAATTTTTTCCAAAACGCGGTTATTTACGAAATATTATTTTAATACTTGGTTATTGTAAAAAAAATTCTCCGTTTTCTCATATTCATTTTTATTGTGAAATTTCTTTGACCGTTACAAAAGCTAGACTTTTGTTTTTCCAGATTCTCAAAGACAAAAGACTACTGAACTTCTCTAATAATTCCACCGTTAAAACACTTATTCCTTCCTATTACTGTTATAAATAAATAAATACCTTTAAATTTTTGTTACTATTATAATTAAAAATAGAGATGACAATAAAACTGATATATATATATATATATATATATATATATATATATATATATATATATATATATATATATATATATATATATATATATATATATATATATATATATATATATATATATATATATATATATATATATATATATATATATATATATATATATATATATATATATATAGATAGATAAAATCTGCCACGAACACGGATAAGATAGTTTAATGAATATTCACGAGTAAAATAAATGGATATTTAGTTATCCGTTTATTTACGAGAACAGATCTCAATTTGATGGTATCCATACCCGCGAGTATCTATATTTATTAATAATTAGTAAAATTATTTAAATACTAATTTTTTAATTTAAAATTATTATTATTATTTGATCTGTCCTGATCAGAAATGGACCGTCACGGCTGGCTCCGAGCTGAAAGCTTCTTGAACGAGGTGGGGGGGGGGGGGGGGTACCTGGAAGGCACTCCGATGCTGAAGTAAGTAGAAGCACGAGCATGCAATAATAAGTGTATGGGTAGAATGATGAATACCTGACCCTCTGGAAACAGAGGGTATTTATAGCCCCCAGCGCTGGGCCAAGGTTCCTTCATTGGGCCGGGCAGGATTGGCCCAATGGAGGAACTTCCAGGTTCTACGTGCGTAGCGGGGACCCGCACGTGGTCCCCTTCCTGGATGTTCTGCGTGAAGTGCGGGCGGACGGAGACGCGGTCTTTTCGGGGCCTCGTTGGGAGTGCAGTGGACTGAGTCTGCCCTAGTTGGGGTGCTCGAGGTGATGTCGAGCTGGACAGCAGGATGTCGAGCTGGAGGTGTAGAGGTCGAGCACGTGACCTCAGGGAGCACGTCGGGCACGACTGTGACCCTTTGGTCGGCGTGGTCCTCAGCAAGTCTATTTAGATTGGGCCTAACAATGCTTTTGGGCCTGTCGGGCCCAGTCCAGAACATTATTATTATTTTATTGAATATGAAATTAATATATTTTGTTGAATGTAATATAATTATTTTAAAAAAAGAAGAAATAAAATGAATATGATTTATTTTTGTTATTATTATTATTATTATGTGTTAAATTTGAAACTATTATGTTTCTTTAAAGGAGATAAAAAATTTATATATATATATATATATATATATATATATATATATATATATATATATATATATATATATATATATATATATATATATATATATATATATATATATATATATATATATATATATATATATATATATATATATATATATATAATAATAATAATAATAATAATAATAATAATAATAATTAAATAAAAATATTTATAAATATCTGTATATATTCGTAGATATCTCAGAATTTGCGAATAGTCGTCTAACGTGTGGGTATGAGACGATATGAATATCATATTTATTAAACGAGGGCGGATAGTAGAAAACTAATACACGTGATTATGGATATCCATTGTCATCTCTAATCAAAAGACATTAATTTTAGATTAATTAATATTTGTATTACTATTATATCTTTAATTTAAGTCAAAAACATTTAATATTGTTAGTTGATTATTAAATATAATTAATAATATTATAGTAAATTTTATTTTAATTGAATAAAAAATTAAGAAAATAAATTATATTTAAATAATTTTTTAATACGTATGAAATAATTATTTTGATTTATAATTGTGATGGGAATAAATATTTTTTTATAAAAAGGAATCAAACAAACTGAAAGGAATCAAACAAACGGAATCAGTATAATATTCGTCAAATAATATTTTATAAACATTAATAATAATAATGTTCTTGCCAGCTCTATTGTGGAAAGATGTTGGGTTGCGATGTCAGTATTGATCTATCCAAAAACAAAACAGTTCGGATGCCAACCTACCATCGCATAAAGTGCCTCGATTAACACATAATTTAATTATTATTGTCTCCGTTCCACAATAAATAATATAATTAGAATAAAATAATTTTTTAAAATGAATGATTTATTTTAATTTTATTTTTAATTAATTAAATTTTTATCATTTCTAATAAATAATTAAGGATATTATAATAAAAATATTATTTTTTCTTATTTTTATATCTTTTTGAATATTTATAAAATAATGGATTCAGCCACTAATTGTTGGACGAAAGAAGTATATTTCCTTATCTACAACTACTTATTATTTAATAATAACAATATATTATTTTTTTCTTTCTTTCATCATTCCACCCGCGTTTATCGTTCCATCTCACCTAATGGTAATAATTGATGAATGTGAAAAATAATTTCCCATTCCACGCGCGTTTATCATTCGACCCACTTAATGATAATAATTGATGAGTTTGTCAATATAATATTAAGATCATCACGTTAGGAAAGTAGACAATATATCAATATAAATAGAGTACAAGGATGCACAAAGAGAGGTACACCAAAACAGCAAACACAATGAGGAAATCATCTTTTTTCTTGACAGTCTTAACAATTCTCATGTCTATTTCAACTGCAATATCATCACAATCGCCCCTTCAAAATTTCCTCACCTGTTTTTCTCATAATTCTCATGCTTCTAAAGTTATTTACACACCAAACAACTCCTCATTTTCAACCATCCTCAACAAGAAAATGTATAACAAGAAATTTCAAACACCAACAACACCAAAACCTTTGGTAATTATAGCTGCAAAAGATGCTTCTCATGTTCAGGCAACAATTAAATGTGCCAAAAGTAACAATATCCAAATCAGAATCCGAAGCGGAGGCCATGACTATGAAGGTTACTCATATGTATCAGACGTGCCTTTTGTTATACTCGACATGTTTAATATCAATTCAGTTGATATCAACTTACAAGAAGAAACAGCATGGGTTGGTTCTGGTGCAACACTTGGTAAGATTTATTACAACATTGCAAATAAAAGCAGTTCTCTTGCTTTCCCGGGTGGATCCTGTTTTTCGGTAGGTGCTGGTGGTTTTTTATCTGGTGGTGGGTATGGAAATTTGATGCGAAAATATGGTCTTTCTGTTGATAATGTCATTGATGCAATCATAGTTAATGTCAATGGTAACATCTTGGATAGAAAATCAATGGGAGAAGATCTCTTTTGGGCTATAAGAGGTGGTGGTGGTGCTAGTTTTGGTGTTATTCTTTCATGGAAACTCAAATTGGTTCATGTACCTCCACAAATTACTGTTTTCAATGTGACAAGGAATGTAGATGAAGGTGCAACTGATGTTGTTTACAAATGGCAACTAGTTGCACCAAAATTACATAAAGATCTGTTCATTAGAGCGCAACCTAATGTTGTTCAAATTGGTAATGGGACAAAAAATGTAGTGGAAATTCTTTTCTTTGGTCAATTTTCTGGAACAACGAAAAGGCTTTTACTTTTGATGAGTGAAAGTTTTCCTGAATTAGGTTTGAAAAAAAGTGATTGTTTTTCAATGCCTTGGATTAATAGCACTCTTTTTGCGTATAGTCGACCAATTGGTACTCCCCTTGAAGCATTGTTTGAGGATCCTCAAGCAGTTTATTCCAAAGGTCAGTCAGATTATGTGAAAAAACCTATTCCAAGAAAAGTTTTAGAATCTATATGGAAAAAAATGATTGAAGGTCAGACTATGTTTATGCAATGGAGTCCTTATGGTGGGAGAATGGGAGAGATATCGCCATCACAAACTCCATTTCCTCACAGAGCTGGAAATTTATTCAAGATTCAATATTTTAATACTTGGACTGATGGATCTCCTAAATCTATTGAAAGTCATGTGAACTTTTCAAGGTCGTTTTATAAATTCATGACACCCTATGTATCAAATTCTCCAAGGGAGGCATTTTTTAACTATAGGGATGCTGATATTGGTGCAAATCATCCGAGTAATACAACCAAATTTAAAATTTCTAGAACTTATGGAAGTAAGTATTTCAAAGGAAATTTTGAAAGATTGGTGAGTGTGAAAACTAAGGTTGATCCTGAGAATTTTTTCAGATATGAACAAAGTATACCTACTAGGACATATTAAATTGATAAAATATTGTGTTGTAACAAATAACAAGTGAGATCCGAAGAATTAATTGAATGAAATAAATATTAAGGAGAAGATTTTTTAGCCTTGTAACCCAATACAAGTTATTGCACTGTTTTAATTTCTTTAATATGTTTTTTTGTTTAAGTTATTTTAATTTAAATTACAGCCAAAATATTTATAATTGTATGTTCGCTGGATAGTAATATTGTCACTTTAGTTTATGGTGGACCCACACAAAAGATTAATGTTTGGATATGATGCTTAAGCAAGAGTCCCTCTTTCCCTTTTCCGTTTATTTTTTTCTTGTGGTGGTTGAAGATTTAAGTGGTCTATTTGGGCGGGCATTGGATTTTGGTCTTTACTCTAGTGGTGTCTCGTTTATGGTATGCAGATGACGTCTTGATTTTTGGTGAGCTTAAAATTGAGAATATTTGGACTATTAAAGCTATCGTGAGAAGTTTCAAGTTAGTCTCAGGTATTCAGGTCAATTTGACAAAAAACAACGTCTTATGTATCAACATTGCTTCAAATTTTGAAAATAGAAAAGGGTTTCTTATGTTGGAAGAAGGAGCATCACCTATTTAAGTATCTTGAGTTTCACATGAGAAACAATCCTCATAAGGAGTCCTCTTAGGAGCCCTTAATTAAGCTTATTTTTGGCCAATATTTATTCATAGAAAAATAAGTATGTTAGTTAACTAGGGCGGGAGGTCCTTTTAACAAGGTCCAAACTCATATACATTAAGTTATCGATTAAGGCTGGGAAGAGACTAGTGGGCTTCAAAAGAATATTTTTTTGGGTGATCTAAAATTTATTGGGTTCGATGGAGAAATGTGTTTAAGCCTAAGGATAAAAGTAAGTTGAGATTTAGATACCTTTGTATCATAATTCAGCGTTGTTTGATATGTGCTAGTGGCGAATGTTATATGGTATATACATTGGGGTTAAAGTCCTTACAACTAGATATAAGTATTAGGTTACCCATCCTTTGTATGGGAGATGTCAAAAGTGTTTAAATAAAATTCATCATGGTGGAAAACGATAAGCCTTCTTAGCAGCAATCTCGAGTCCACCTTTGATTGGTTTATAAATTTTTATCTAGAAAAGTGGAAAATTCATTTTGGGGGATCCCTAATTACCCCTTTCCCTCTTCATGTTCATTTTCACAGGATTTTACATATCTGTTGACAAGTAATTTTCGACTCAGAGGATTAGGTCACAAGTTGTATGGTATTTTGTCAAAAGGAGTGTCAATTATTCTACAAGTGTTAAAAGGGGCTGTGGACAAGAGTTAAGAGGTAATTCCCAAGATTTGGGTCGACATAGTATTGGAAGCGGAAGCTAGGTCCACGAAGCATAGGTCAATAAAAAACAAGAGAAAGTGGCGGCAAAAGCAGTTGCCAACTACAAGTGTCGGCAGAACGTGGGAAGTTTGAAAACAGTTCCACATGAACTCTCAATGTGAGTTGTTCAAGTAACCATCTACGGTTACATTTTAGAATCTATTTAAGAAAGTTGTTGCATTCATTTTCGAGGTTGCATTTTGTAACATTGTAAGAGAGCACTCAAAGTACCAGCGTCTAGAGAAACGAGTCAGTTCTGAGAAAGGCATGATTGCGTCCATCTTTAAATTCAAAGCAGTTTATTTCAAGTCCTATTTATCATTTTAACCTTGCAATTTATTTATCATTTATCTGTCTTTGTCTTTTATTCTTTTCTCATTACGTTTTTCGTACGTTAATCATTTTAAACACCAAAAGGCTCTCGAACTTAACACTGAGTCTAGGACTCTTATAGCCGGTCCTGCAAGTAATCTTTAATTAAGAGTCTAGAGATTGTTCGCGAGAAACACCCACGAATAAATTGGCACACTTGGTGGAACATGTTTGTGTTAAGTTCGTCCCAACCTATGCATGAGATTGAGAAGTGCAAAAAAGATGGTAGATCCTAGAAATCCGAGGGGGATCTGACCTTTGGAGGAAATACCAATGCAGCGGCGAGTGTGGGTTCAAGTTCTGTGGTTATGTCTTTAACGACCCAAAACATAACAGTCACCACTGTGAGCAACCCCTTCATAGATTGATTTTGAATGATTGCAAATATAATATATCATGTTTGAATAAGCCAAAATTACATTTCTCTCATAATGCATCTTTATGTGTCGACACATCAAGTTTTGTATCGATACATAGCTTTCTGAAGTCCCTGGACTTGTATCTCAAAACTATTATGTATCGATACAAAAGCTTATGAGTCGATACATAACTCTTTGATGAACCTGGAATATAAATCTAAAAACTGCATGTATCGATACATACATTCCATGCATCGACACATAATATGTTGATGCCCCTGTAATACTTGTATGAATCGAGACAAAACCTTATGTATCGACACAAAACATTATGATGATCCTGGAAAACGTTTTGAAACTTATATGTATCGATACATAATAACATGTGTCGACTCATACTATGTTTTAAATTCAAAAGTTTAAATTACAATCAGTATGTATCGACACATACGCATTATGTGTCGACGGGTAATTCAAAAGTTGAATTTACAATCAGTATGTATCGACACATACGCATTATGTGTCGACGGGTATAAAAGTGTTGGTTCTGTAAAACGCTTTAACAGGTTTTTATATCGACTCAAAACATAATGTATCGACTTATCCTGTTACATGTAACTAACATGAGTCAACACATGAGCAACATGCACCGACTCATGCACTCTCTTTTTTGACTAACCGTTTTTTGTTATAAATATAAGCAAGCATTTGTTCAGATAGAATATAGAAGCATAGAAGATTGTGTGCAAAACAATTGTGAGCAACCAGAAGCTTTTGATTCCTTCATCTTCATCATCTTCTCAACCATCTTACATTCAAGAACAACAAAGAAAATCAAACATCCTTGTTGAATTGATTCAAGAGGTTTGAGATAACGTTCAACTGAGTATTGAAGAAGTCTAGCTGAGTTGAAGGTTGAAGAGGAAGCTTCAAGAAATAAACCAGAGGGTTTGTCCTTCAAGAAAGGGTGTGTTCTTGAGGGTTTTGTCAATCACAGTCACGCGAGTCGGATTCAGCCGTAGCGAGGGGTTTGGAAATCGGAAGGATTTTGAACAAACAGGTCGTGGAAGCGGAGGATCGTTCGGTGATTTTGCAGGGAATCTTGATACAACTCTTATCAAGTGGTGGTTCTTACAAGAAGAAGAAGATCATAGGGATTTCTGTCTTTTTGTGTAGTGTAACCTTGCTATTAAACATTCAACATATTGATATAAAAGTTCTCAGTTTCGATTGTGAAATTGAGAGGGAGACGTACCCACACGCGAGGACGACAGTGGGGAACTTCCTTACCAAACTGCCTGTGTATCGTTCTCTCTTTTCTTTCTCTTTACAATTTTACATATTCTATAATTTTGTAATTCAATTGGCGTGCTAAGTTTTACAGTCTAATGATAAACATAGTGGCTCAAACATTTTCACCAAATCACCACTATTAAATCATTATACAAGCATACGCCAATTGTTTGACAAAATTCCTATTATATTTCTAAATTCATTGGAAATTCTGTTTTATGATAAGTGCATTGAAACGTCAAGATTCCTGATTGTATATTCATCCATTCCATTCAATAAAATCCAGCAAAGTTTTCACATGTCAAGCTTTCTAGTAGTCAGTTCAAAGTAGACGAAATTGATTCAGGACATTGATTTTCGCTGCTTTCAACTCTCTTTGATAAAACAATTTTAAATCCTTGAAAAAGAAGAAGTGATCTATTCACCCCCCTCTCGATCACTTGCCACACCATCTAACAAGTGGTATCAGAGCACCGGTTAGCTGGTGCTTTGTATCTACTCGTAACGCTATGGCCTTTGAACCAAATGGGGCGTATAATAGACCTCCTGTTTTCAATGGTGAAAACTACGGCTATTGGAAAGACTGCATGCGAGTACACATAAATTCCATTGACAGGAATGTATGGACTGTCATTTAAAATGGTCCTTTTCAAATCACCATGAGGAATGCTGCAGGTGCAATAGTACCTAAACCTGAGGATCAACGGAATGAAATGGATGAAAAGAAATGGTCGTGCGATTGGAGAGCCAGAAATATGATGATCTCAGCACTTGGTGTTGATGAGTATTATAGGGTGTCTCACTGCATGTCCGCTAAAGAAATATGGGACGCTTTAGAAATTGCCCATGAAGGCACAACTGAAGTTAAACAATCCCGCATTAATACACTCAATCAAGAGTTCGAGCTCTTTCACATGAAGCAAGGAGAATCTGTCTCTGACATGCAGAAGAGATTCGTACATCTTGTGAGTCGTTTAAATGCACTTGGAAAACCTGTTTCCAATGAAATTGCTACTAATAAAATTCTGAGATGTCTTAGCAGGGAATGGAAACCTAAAGTAACATCTATCAAGGAAGCAAATGACCTCACTACGCTTACTGTGATACAATGGGAGAACTGACTTGAGGTTTTGCGTTTTGTCGCAAATGTCGCGGTTTAGCAAGAGTCGCCACCGACTTTTATTTTATCTAAAAGAAAAGGTAAAAAAGCATAGGAAAGACCTTTGAGATATTTTCTTGAGTTCGGGGGGTAGATTATGAAAAGGGAAGGTGCTAGCACCCTTTTCATCCATGGTTTTCCATGGGCTCTTAGTTACTTGCTTTGCATTTTGAAATTGTTTGAAATGGTTTTTTTGTTTGGTGTGGTTTTGAAAGTGTTTTGAAAAGAGGCCATTCGTTTAGGCAATTTTTGTAATGATTCTCGTTCGTAAGAATGTATACGAAGATGTTTGTCTTTTGAAAAATGTTTCAATGTTTTGAAAGATGTTTGGAAATGTTTTTGAAATGTGTATGTGTTTGTTTTTGAAAATAGCAAGAATTGTTTTGAAATGGAGCAAGTAACTTAGAAGCTATCTACCTACTCAAATGTCTTTCCTATGCATTTTTATTCCTTTGACATTGTTGATT